GTGTATTTTGCCCAAGACCTGCTTAAGGTACCTAAGCCCTTTGATAATTATCACAAAGTTATAATGCAATACAACTGAAACTGCTATTGAGTAAGGAGGATTACTTAATTCTTCAGTGAGAATCAAGTACTAAAAGAGATAAGGGCCTTGTTATGCATTAATTTTAGGCAGCTTCTGGAGCTTTTAACACCTGGATTGTCCACACATTAACAACTGAAGCTAGTTTTAAGCACACTTTAGACAGCTTAAAGATTTGCCACTCCAGAGCAGGTTTAGCTCTGATCCGTGTTACCTACCTCATGCTCCATTAATTTGTGCCCCCACACACACAGAAGAGCTACTCAAGTTGCAATCCTCCAGCATCTCAGGATGCAGAGTCTCCTCCCCACCCTCCTGTTCTGCGTGGACAAACTTTCTACCCCTTCAACTCTACTGTCCAGGGGGAAGTTCTGACACCAAGCCAGCTCCCCATCCCACCCCTGGGGGTGCAACCTTCCCACACACAGGTGTAAGCCTGTGTAAGCAGACTGCATAGCACATGCCAGCTACCTTGGTCACAGGGTATGGACAGGTCCAGAACTGGGAAGGATGGAAGAGGGGGAGCAAGGTAGGGGAACAGACTAGGTCCCCATAAACTGGGGCTTCCTTCCCAGGACTGAGGCAGTAACTCTCCCAAAAGCACCTTCCGTCACCCCTCCTACCTGCCAGCCTCCCCAGGAAGCACAACCAGCACCCTGCACACCACAGCCCCATATCCCAATTTCATAAAGCATGAGACCTTCTTTAATTTACTTTTTTTTTACACTTTTATTTTATCCTTCAGTGGCTGACTTCCTTCATTTCCCCACCCTTTCCCCACCTTCATTTCTTTTCCATCTCCTATTTCACTCCAGTGCACGGGGCTCTGGCTCCAGCTCCCAGTTGCCTTTCACCCATTCAGCCCATCCCATTAACTCTCCTAGCTTCATGTTCCCACCCCACTTTCTCCCCCCAACCTCTCTCACACACTGCCACCTAGAACAGGGATCAAAGCCTGTCCTGGCTTACCAGCCCGCTAGTGGCAATTTACAGCTGTAGGTCCTAGTCCTGCCATTGATCATCAGCCCTCAAGTGGCAAGTCCCAGCTATGTAAGGTGGGGGACAGTCAGAAGGTTTTGAGTCTTAACATGAGACTGCTCTGAACTCAAGCTAGCACTGACACCAATCAACATTTGAGCAGCTCAAAATGCAGTGTGTAACAAGGCCTAAATCTTGTGGCGTATCAGTGCCCATTTCTTCTGTATATACATTACTCCGCAATATAGAAATTTCACCCAGTATCAGTAGATGCCTGACAAGCTTTTAAAAGTAATGATGTAGCCACGATGGTCCAGAAATTATCCATATAATGGTCCAGAAATTATCCAATAAAAATATCACCCTAAGACATCCTTGCCTCTCACATGCATTTAAAATGCAGGTGTAAATTGACAGGTTCAGCAGTCACACTAAAGCAGGGGTGGGCAATTATTTGGGCCCAGAGGCCACACAGAGTTTTTTTAAGTTGTCACCGGCCAGGTCAGCACACCCTTCCACCACCCCCGACCGCCACAACAACTCACCAAAACTCCCTATGTGGGATGGGGCCACAGGTGGACAGGAGTGGTGTTTGGGAGTGGGATGGGCCAGCGAGGCTGAGATCGCAGGGTGAAGTTGCAGGGCAGTAACAGCACGAGGATACGGCCAAGGGCAGAACCACAGTCTGCTCCCTGCATGCCCCTGCTCTGTTGGGAGTTTTGGAGGTGTAGAATGCACTGGGGGTGGGGCATATGCACGTGTGTGTGTAAGGGGGGAGAGGTGCCTGGGCACTAGGTCTCAGGTGCCAGCCAGGGATGAGCGGAGGGGACAGGGGACATGCAGCAGAGCTTGCCCAGGTGATGCAGTCTGTGGCTGCCCCTGTGGTGCTCCACATGGGGCTGAGCCCTGCCCAGGGCTGCCCTCACTGTGATCCCACCTGCATCTGGCAGGCTGCCCCTGGCCAGTGCTTACAGCTTACTGGTGGGGCTGCTACCAGTGCAGCTGCAACCACTCAGGTACTGCTCAGCCCCCCTCACTTTCAGCAGCAGCTCCTCCTCCTACCCCTGCTGCACTGCTTCAGTTTGGGAGAAAGCTTCAGCTAGGTGACTCCTGCCCGAGTGCATGGGGCTCTGGCTCCAGCTCCTGGTTGCCTTCCACCCATTCAGTCACCCACACCAGGCAGGTAGAGTGGGTGGAAGGTATGTGGGAGCTAAGGGGCAGGAGCCTCCAGGCTGAAGCTTCCCCCCCACCTGGAGTAGCACAGCAGGGAGAGCAGGAGGAGAAGGAGCTGCTGCTGGAGGTGAGAGGAGCTGAGCCGTACCCAGGTAAACTGAGCATGCTGGCCAGGGCTAGGGCCAGTGGGTGCAGACACAAGCATGGAGCTACCTGCCCTAGGCTTGGCTCAGCCCCATGTGAAGCACTGTGAGGGGAGTCATGGGCAGGATTGTCAATTGGCAGGGACCCAGTCAATTGGTGGGCCAGATCCAGCCCACAGGCCATATTCTGCCAACCCCTGCACTAAAGTTATCTGAGCTAACCTAGCAGCAAATTATTTTAACTGCTCTTCAGATTCCTCAAGGTGTGCCATACCCCACCTATCCAAACCTAACCATCACTCCACCTCCCCCTTTCCTATTGCCCTTTGTATGAGCTAGGTGCTATTATGATTTGTGTTGTCTGCACAGCACACCCCGACTATCAAGAAGCTTGCACACGGTGTGGAAAATCTCCTGATTTTCCACACACTGCACACATCTCTTTGCAGAAGCCTATCAAGTTTGGGCCTCTATTTCAACATCAAAAAGATTTAGGTGCTCTATTAGCCTGCTCCAGGCCAGGAAGGTGATATCCCTCCTGAAATTACCATTGAGGGGAAGAGCCTGGAGGTAGTCACCCACTTCACTTACCTCCATAGGCACCTCTCTCAGAGAGTGAACACCGATGAGGAGATCCAGCACAGGGTTCAACGTGCAAGTGCCTCCTTTGGAAAATTGCTTAAGTGTGTTTTGTTGATCGTGAAACCAAGCAAAAAGACACAAAGATCCACGTGTACAACCTAGTCCTTACCCCCACTGTCCTCTACAGACATGATCCACTGTTGTCATCTCAAGACCCTGGAGAGGTATCACTAGCAATGACACTCATTCCCGCCCCTTTTTGCTCTGCATTAAACTATAATTCAGGAGATATTTAATTTAGAAAGATTTCACATCCGTAATCCTTGATTTTATTTAGTGTGCTGAGGTTAAAGCTAAGAGCATGTTTAACTACTTTCCCTAATTTAGCACCGGATCTTGGCAACATCCCTGCTTCGCTGTACCCCCAGAACTTCAGTCGCTGCGGAAGCAGCTCTGGTTAGTTCCTCCGGGTGAGCCGCTGCGGAGCGGTAAGGCTTGGTCCGGGCGCCGCCCCCGCTCGGCCAGCTGGGCGGGGCGGGGCGGGGCGGC